ATAGAGGTGGCTGTCTCGGGAAGGGGGATGAGCTCCCTCTCCCAGGGGATATGCAAGCAAGCCAATGGGATGTCCATCCCATTTCAGTTGAAAAGGGGATTTTTGCACTGGTTAACAGGGAGGTTGAACAACACATTCTTTCAGGTCTGAGATGCCTTTGTTGAAAGATTCTGGCAATCTAAGAGTCAGTGCCTTTAAGAATCTACCTTGTATGTACTTATTACCATACCCCTTCTGTGGGTGGGAATCCCAAGGCTTAGAGAAGATACATAACTTTCTAGGCTTCTGGATATGATTAAAACGCAGACCTGCAGGTGTCCAAGATCTGTGTTCTATCTGCTTTACTCGGGCTGGACTGAGACACATAGGCCCCCTCTGTAGGTAAGTAATATTTTGGTGTCTCTTTAAATGAATATTCTTTTATTTTTTTACTTATTTTTTTAAAAAGATTTATTTATTTATTTGAGAGGGAGAGAGAGGATGAGCAGGAAGGGCAGATGGAGAGGGAGAGAGAATCTTCAACAGATGCCAAGCTGAGCAGAGGGCCTGATGTGAGGCTCGATCCAAGGACCCTGAGATCATGACCTGAGCCAAAACCAAGAGCTGGGTGCTTAACCCACTGAGCCACCCAGGTGCCCCTAAATGAATATTCTTTTAAAAAACCTATTTTGAGATAGAATTCACATACCATACATTTCACCCATTTAAAGTGTGCAATTTGACTGTTTTTAGTATCTTCACTGAGTGGTGCAACCATCACCACAATCAAAGGTATGAATGTTTTTGTCACTCATAAAGAAATCCTATACTCACTGAGTCGTTCCCCATTTCATCTGGTGTCCTGTCTAAGAAACCTTGCCTAACCCAAGGTCATGAATATACTCTCACCTTGTCTTCTGAGAGTTTTATAGTTTTTGCTTTTATATTTATTAGATCTTTCATCTGTGTTGCGTTAACTTTTACATATGGTGTGAGGTATGGGTTCGCTTCATTCTTTTACGTGTGGCTGTCCAGTTGTTCCGGCATTAAATAAATATTCCTCAAATATTTGTTCAACATCCACTTAGAGCGGATTTTTATGGAGGGAGGGTAAGTGTGGGCCTTTTGGTGACAGCATCCCACCTCTCCTGTCCTAAGCAGTTCAGTTCTGCCCAGACTTGCAGCCTTTCTTCAGCAAAGCAAAAGCCCATGGTTTGGCAGACCCAGCCTCTTCTGAAGCCAGGCTGATCACAAGAAGTGACTACATGATTGTAACCTCACTCCAAATGATCTACCAAAGTGTGATTTCCAGTCTCATACTGAGGTTTGGTAAGACTCAGTTTTCTTCTCCGGCTTTCTTTCTCTCCTCTCATTTTCTGGTGTTGTGGTACCTCAGCAGCTGAGCTGGTTGGTCCACCCTTGAATCTGATCCTGACCAAAGGATTCCTGGAAGCAACAGGAAGCATGATTTCAACATCCTCCAGGGTGATAGAAGGGTGTTTCTGCCAAAGGGAGCACCTGTGCCCCGGAGAGCAAGTCGCTGCAGCTTTGGAGAGAGGGTCAGGGACAACCTGGGTGGTGTCTGTAGCTGGAGAGACAAGGAGACAGACAAGGAGCCTCCTTCAGGGTTGTGTACGTGGTAGGGAAAGGGAGGCTGCCAAAGGAACGGAATGGAATGACTTTCCCTCTCCAAGCGTCTAGCTGGGTCTAGGTCGGGTCTGGATTGGGTGATCGTCTTATTAGAGGGGCTCTTTGGGCTCTGGATGCCACTCTCTGCCCCTCCATTTTCACGCCCGTAATAGCAGGCTAATACTTCACATGTATCAGCTTTGGAGCCCGGGGAAATTCCTATCTCTCTCCTTCCGTCGGCTGCACTCCTTTCTATCCCTCCAGGGGCCAGACTTGTTCCCCTCTCTGAGCCTTTGCACTAGGTGCCCCCTGTGCCTGGAATGTTCTTCTCTGGTGCTTGGCCTGGCTGGCACCTACTCATCCTCGAGGGTTCAGTTAACTGTCTCTAGCCCTCAGAAGCCTCTGACCCCTGCGTTCACCCTGGGCCTCCTGGCCTCCAGACCCTTTCTCTGTCCCTCCCCCTCTCAGTTTTGTCTCCTAGGGGACTGGCTTCCAGCAGAGGTCAGCCACTGGGGGCCCTGGCAGGAGACTGGGAGGCCATGGGAAGATCCAGGGTATGTTTCCCCCCTCCCCTCTGTCCCAGGTAGCTTCCTAGGTAGCAGCTTCCTGTCTGCAGTTCCAGCTTCCACACAGTGACCCCAGGCCCTGGGTTGGGGGGCACCCCTTCTTCCTTCGGAGACAACTTCCTGCCAGGATCCGCTTGCGTCACTCTCCCCTGTCTGGCCCTCAGCTCCTTCTTCACCTGTGGAAACCATTCTCTGCGTTCAGTTGTCTTGTAAATAGCTGAAGTGGTCTTTCTTTTCCTGGTTAGACCCTAACCGATATCTCTCCCAAGCGAAATTGTAGCCCCCGAATTCTTGTTGAATTCAAGGGACACAGAGACTTTCTCCTCAAGCTGCCCCGCAGATGGAAGGACCGAGGGGTTCCTTCTTCCCAGTTCTTTCTGGTTCTGATGGGCCTCTGATGGTCCCCCCATCAGCAGGAGTCTGAGCAGCACCTGTGGGGCCTGTTATTTTGAGCCGGCCTTGGTAGGTGAGTTACCCTGGCTGGTGGGACGTAGGGGGCTATTCCTCGTTGGGCTCCCCTGTTTCATGGCAGTCTGGGAAGGTCAGCTCTCTCTGTATGGTTTTGCCTGGAGCCAACAAGCTGGGGTCAGGCAGGTGGCCCCATAGCCCCTCGGGGCAGGGCAAGCTGTTCCTGCCCCAGGCTGACATCGGGCAGGTGACTACCGGAGCTTCTCGTCCATCTTAATCCAGGTACAGAGCTTGTCCTGGGGGTAAGGTTGCATTCCCTCAGGGATTGCCTGCCTGGGGTAGATTCCTATTGTCCCATGTCCCACAAGTATGTAGCTGGGGAGAAGCCACCTCATGAGCTGTTATGAATCACCCACATAAAGTATGTCACATAATTTATTTAGGGCTTAGTACTCTTGGCTGTTGCTGGGTTGTCCTCAGGATTCCTAGAATGTGCTGGCCCTTTGCTGAACTCTTTGCAGGTGTCCTCTCATTTCATCCTCATGCTCACGCTGTGACGCAGAGGTGGCTGTCACCCCCGTCTTGCAGATGATGAACCTGAGGTTCTAGAGGGGAGGCCACCTGCCCAGTCATAGAGCGTGTAAGAAGCTGAGCTGGAAGTTGGTTCTACCCCGAATCAGTCTGGGGTGGGAGTGGGCAGGGGTCTCTATAAAAGCCTTGGACTTTACCACCTTGTTTGGAATCACAGATCTCCCCCAACACCCACCATTTTACAGATGGAATTCACGAGGCCTCTAGAGGTTATGGGATTAGCTCCCCGACCTCCTCAAATCCAGGCTCTTCCTGTTGTCCCTTCCTAGATTCTTAAGCCCCCAGAGCCTGGGAGAGATGGAGTAAGGGTTGGGGCTCTGGCTCCTGCTGGGAGGTGGGCAAGGGGGGAGGCCTCAAGCAACAAGAATGTGGGGCAGGGTGGGCAGAGAAGTCAGGCAGTAGTGGGCTCCCCGCTGGCCTTCCTTCTGGGAACAGGGAGGGGAGGCTCTGGGTCACAGCACGAAGGTGGGGTGTAAGCTGGAGGCAAGAGCTGACATCCCAGAGGTGGGGCAGCTCCAAGGTGGTGGCTTCAGCCTGGGAGGGTCAGCAGGGGACCTGGTGAGACCACAGAAGGCTATATAGAGAGGGAGGGTGGGGAGAGGGTAGGGCAAAGGGTGTGCCTGGACACCAGGTGATGCAGGCGGCCTCACCTTTCCATTCAGAGAAACTTCCAGTGAGACATTTAAATGTGTGGTGGAGAGCAGAGACGCAGCACTGGGAGAGACCAGCTCACGGTCTGAGGCAGTTGGAACTGGCTCCTGATTGAAGTCGGAGGTCCTGGTTTGCTCCCACTTTCCCTCCAGGTCTACTGAGTCATCTGAAAGTCTTTGGGTCCCACGGTTTCCCATCTGTGAAGTGGGAATGGTGGATGACAGGGTTTGCAGAGTCCCTCTCCTCTGATCCTCGCTGACCTCACCCTGCAGGCTGCCGTGTGGGTGACTTTAGGAGGGCTTGTTCTCCAGACCTGGGAGGCTGAGGGTGGGAGGGAGAGCCCCTGAGCTCCGCGCTGAACTCCGATCTTCCTGCAGGGATTTACCCGAAGTCTAGGACACCAGAGATCCCAGTCCCCTGCACTGTGCCTGAAGGAGCAGGTCGTGATGGATACCAGGCGAGTCCGGGTGTGGAGCGGGGACCATGGGTGCCGTCCTAACTGCTGACACAGACAGACAGACTCTGGCTGCAGGCTTCCCTCACTTTGGTCTCAGGGGTGTGTGGCCAACAGTGGGTCCCGTGGCTGCTCTAGGGAGCTCAAGTGCAAGTCCTAGCCCGGCCGCTGACCACTTGGTGACCTTGGGCAAGTCTCCTCCCTTCTCTGAGCCTCCTGTCCCTGTGTGTAAAATGGGGATGTTGGACTCGATCATGTCCTCGTCCCTGCCTCTGAGTCTCATAATCTGAAGATCTTGACCTCCTTGATTATCCTTTCTGTATGTCTACTTTCTCACTTGTGAAGGGGGACATGTGTGTGAAGAAGCCTAGAAAAGGATGCCAACCCTCTATTCCATATGCACAGTGTGTGCATCTTGCTTGGTCTCCCACCATGTCTCTGAAGCAGGCTGGACCAGGCCAGTGGCCCGTCCTAGAGATGGGAAAACTCACTAGGGCTCCATGGAGCTCTCTGGGTGAATGGGAGAGCTGAGGGCTGGCAGGCCCCCGGAGAACTCTGGCCCCTGGGACTTGCAGGGAGCTGGGAGAAGGGAGGAGGCCAGATCCTTAGAGCAAAACCTTTCCAGGACACTGGAACCGTGCCTGCTGGAGGGATCTGTTGGAGTGTCGGGGATGAGCAGCCCCCTTGGGAACCCGAAGGGGAATCAAGGCACCCTTGGAAGCATGTGCCCAGAGGAGCTCATCGCGCTGGGGCCTGGGGAATCTGCCTGGCACGTGGTCCTGAAGAAGATCAAGGAGCTCTGAATCAGTACGGAGCGGGAGGGAGGGAGGTTGGGGGTGGAAGGGAGTAGGGAGCAGAGAGGGTGAGTCTCAGTCCCTACTTTGGTGGACAAGAAATAAGACTTTCTGTTTTGTGGTCCTATAGCTCCGTTTACTAGGTCTTATTCCAAGGCTCAGTTCTGCGGGGGGTCATGGAATAGTTTCTCTGTCCCCTTCTCATACCTCCCATCACCCCATGGAATTGTAACTGCCCGGTGCCAGGCTGTGTAGTGGAGGGTTGGAGCCGCCTTGCCCCCACTTTGATCTACAAAGATCATTGTTGCCCTTACGTCTTCCTGTTTAAAGAGTTAGAAGATCTGGGGTCAGATCCTGTCTTTGCCATGTACTCACTGTATGACCTTGAGCCAGTGACTTCCTATTTCTGAGCCCTTGTTGTCCCATCTATAAAATGGCACTAGCACTAGTACTGACTGCACAAGGTCATTGTGAAGACTAAGTGACGCACCCACCACCCAGCCTCCCCTCCCTCTTTCCCGGCCCTGGCAGGACCACCAAGACCCCTTCAGGGTCGCCAACTGGGCGTGCTGGCCCGCCGCCATCAGGCCTTCTGCCGCACCCTGCCGCAGGTCTCACCCTTCTGTGCCATGAAGTGCAACAACAGCACCTGGGGACTGCGCGTCCTGGCCACCCTGGGCGCCGGCTTCGACCGTGCCAGCCAGGTGAGCCTGTGCCCGCTGCCGGGGGCCTCATTCGAGGGCTTGACACTTCCTGGGGACAGGAGGCCAGCCGCCGGGGATCTCGGAGTGGGGCCTACGGCACGTAGGAGAGTGGCCGAGACAGGAAATACTCACTTGATTTTGAAGGAAGAAATGAATGAACTATGGGGCGTCGACCTGCCGCTGGGCCATGTGGCTGGGGCAGGCAACGGGAGCCGGTGAATGGAAGGGCACAGGCTTTGAGCCACAGGCCCCGTTCCTGTCTCCGCACAGTCATTTCACACACTGCAGGTTCTTCCTCTTATAAAATGGGGCCAACTGTGCTTTCCTGAGAGTCGTCTAGAAGCCTAAGTGGCACAGACGTGTCCAGCTCAGTGCGAGGTGCAGAGGAGGGATTCAGCCAAGGGCAGCCCTTTGTGCTCATGCCCCGGGTTTCTGGCCCCAGAGGGCCAGGGTGGGGAGCCAGCCCCTGACGCAGTCGCCCCCATGCCAGGTGGAGCTGGAGCAGGTGCTGGGCCTGGGCGTCGCCCCCTCGTGCATCATGTATGCCAACCCCTGCAAGCCTGTCTCCCACATCCAGTACGCTGTCCTCCACGGGGTGCGGCTCCTGACCTTCAACAGTGAGGAGGAGCTGAGCAAGGTGGCCCAGCACCACCCCGAGGCCAGGTGAGACCAGCAGGGTGGGGCAGGCAGGTGCAAACAGATGGGCCGAGGGACAGCAAGCCTGGGGCCTCTGCCAGTAGAGTTGGGCCTCTGCAACCAGATGAAGGTGGTCCCATGGGGTGACCTGGGAGAGGTTCAAGTAGCAGAGTACAAGCCTTTGGGTCAGTGGGCCCAGTGCCTTCCCTGGTGCACATTGGTGCCAAAGAAATACTGTGAATATCTGCATAGACACTGGGCAGAACCTGGCATTAGGAGGCCTAGGGTCAGGCGACCTCACGGACAAAGCACTCACATTGGAGTCAGGTAGACCGGGGCTCGTGTTTCAGATTTGTGAGCACATGCTGTGTGGTCTTGGGAAAATTATTTAACATTGCTGATCCTGTAACCTGGAGGCCTACAAAAGGTGTATGTATAATTTTATCACTTTCCTGCTTTTTCTTGCCTGGGCAGAAGTCTCTAAGTGGTGAGTGTTTTCGTTTCTTGGGACTCAGCGGCTGGAGGAACTAGGCAGGGACAGGTGGGAAGGTGGAGAAACATTGGGGAGAGGGGGGGCGGGTAAAGCATCCAGGCCTCGGGGCTCACGTGTCTAAAAACCCCTGGCATCTTTTGCACCCTCTCCCAGGCTGGTCCTCTGGCTGTGGACCCAGGACAGCGAGAGCATGTTCCCCCTGAGCGCCAAGTTCGGGGCCACCCTGGAGGTGTGTGAACATCTGCTCAAGTCGGCCAGGGCCCTGGGGTTGGCAGCGGTTGGAGCCAGGTGAGAGTGCTGGTTTTCCCTGCCCGGGAAGCACGGGTCCTGGTGTTTACCGCCAGTCTCCAGTCTTTGCCCTCTGGTCAGCCGTGGCCCCTCTGGGCCTCAAGATACTCCATTTGTCCTCAGCAAAGAAGCTGGGTGTTATCTGGGACTAGGGCAGGGCAAGCAAGCAAGGCACCCACCTTGGGTGAAAAATGTAAGGGGATGCCAAAAAACTTAGTACTCTAGATAAGTAACATCTTAATACAATATTTTAAAAACTCAAGATTAATGCAAAAAATCCATGATGAGGAAAATATTAAAATTTTAAATTAAGACAGGATTGGAATGCCTGACTTTTCCTTTTGCCCCAAAGTCCAATCACTGTTACCAATTTTGCCTTTATTTAAAATTTCTGTGTTTCATTTGTTGGGGATGTTTTTGCGTCAATTTTGCTTCTTAAAAATATTGCATTAAATGCTATTTATCTTGATGGCTCAGTATTCTGGCACCCCCTTAAATTTTGCATCTGAGCCAAGGGCCTCCCTCACCTCCCACTACCTGGCCCCGATTGGTTCCTCAGCCCTCCTACTTGCGGGAGTGTGTGTGTGGGGGGTGCCCTGGGGTTTGGGGTTCTGATCACACGCCCCCTAAGGAGGGGAAGGGGAACACTGCACCGGAGGCACTGGGAGGCGGCAGCCCAGAGAAGTGACTGCCGTACGACCGTGAGCACCCCAACTCAAGGCCAGTCACGGGCGATGTGTGCATCTCTGCGGACACCCACACGTATATCCAGGGGTGCATGTTTGTGTGGGCCGCCGTAGTCACGTGTGTCCTCGTATGTGTATCCGTACTGTTCTCCACATTTTACCCGTGTTGGCGTTTCGGAATGTCCCCCTTCTTACTGACCCTTACGTTCCCGTGTGTGTTTCTCTACGTGTCACGTGACCTGCGTCCAGCTTCCACATGGGCTTGAACTGCCAGATGGTGCGCGCCTTCACCCAGGCCCTGGCTGACTGCCGGTGCGTGTTCGAGATGGGCCTCCTGGACATCGGAGGGGGCTTCCCGGGAGAGGAGGGCTGCGAGCCTAAATTTGAGGAGGTCAGAGTGGAGGACCAGAGAGAGCCTGGGCTGGGTTCGGGGGACAGTGCGCACGTGCTTGCATGTAGGGGGAGCTCTTGTAACTGAGTCAGGTGCATGCATGTAGCTGGGAGGTGTCTTTGTCTTTGTCTGACTCAGTGCACATGGCCTGTGGGCACATGCGAGCATGTGTGAACGTCTGGCTCCATGTCTGTGTTTAGACATGTTGCTTGCTGTCCTTGAGCTGCAGTCAAGTAGAAGCTCCCTGTGCCCCCCAACCAGGGACCATCCCATCTTTGCTGACCATGTATTGGTTTCAGTGGTTGGGAATTCAGACATCTCAGGGTGCTACAGCTTGTACACCTGCTTGTGTCCTTGGGCAAGTGACTTCCCCTCTCTGGGCCACAGTTTGTTTCCTCCCTAGTAAAGTAGGGATGATAACACCTCCCCACAGTGCTATTATGGGAACGAAGGGGGATGGTGCAGGTAAAGCCCCGACATAGGGACTGGTCATATGGGTCTGTCCCTGCAGAGAGCGAGGGTGATCAATGCTGCCCTGGCCCAGGACTTCCCCGTGGGGAGCGGTGTAGAGATCATCGCGGAGCCCGGACGCTTCTACGCGGCGTCTGTCTACACGGCAGCTGTCAACCTCCATTGCCAAGAAGGCTGTGCTGGAATCTGGTGGGTGGGCCAGCACTGGGGGAGCGGGGGAGGGCACTGTGCAGACGTCCCCGGGCCCTGGTGAAGAGGATGGATGGAGGGTCTGGGCTCCTCCCCGCAGTGCCTAATTAGTGAGAGGCAAGCTGTGAATCGGGGAAAAAGAATGAACCTGTTAGTATCACTATTGTGTCGTTCTCAAGTTCACTGGGAGGTAGAGAGAGCCAAGACAAAGTCCTTACCCTTCCTGAGCCGCCCATGAATTTAGATCACATTTATGGAGGCAAAGTCACAGAATACAGCTCATGAGGCTACCGACACCGCTGTGCTCCCGACGTGCATTTGAAATCCTTCCGGAAAGTGCTTTCTAACAGGTGCAGATTCTTATAATGAAAAATACACTGAGTCAATACAAATTCTTACAAAAAATATAGGAAGGCAACATTGTCGTTGTTGTGGCCTGAAGGTTAAGGGTGACATCTAGAGGGTAACAGGAAACCTTTTGACAATTGAGGTCGACCATCATGGAAGAGTTACTAGATTGTTATTTTTGCAGCAGGAGTGGGGTGGGGTGGCTGTTCTCACACAGTGAACTAACCAGAAACTCGGTTTCGTGATGAGATAGAGAGTACGAATAGGGTCTCGCCACTCTATTCTGTGGCTTCGTGATAACTGACATAAAAATATTTATGAATCCCGGTAATCTCCTCCCTTATCCTTGTGACACGTGCTGGCCCACACAACTTTTAATCCCAAAGGTGCTTGTGTCAACTGATTTCATTTCCCCACAAAGTGTGTGGTTAAAGAATATTGGGAAATGCGGCACAGGATTTTAGCCATCCGTTTCTCGGAATTCCGAGTTATAAGTATTTGGGGCTTATTATTTTTATTTCCACGATAATAAGAGCCGCTGATAATTAAGTATTCTGTGTGAAATACCTATTTTGTCTCATTTCTCTCGACAATCCTAGGAGGTAGTTTTGGGTCATTCCCATGTTACAGGTGGGAATACTGAGTCTCAGGGAGAGGAAGGAATCTGTCCACACAGCACAGCGAGTTAGGGGTGTAGTAGGGCCCCCCCATCTGCCTGGCTGAAACGCTGGTCACTCGCCGAGGTCTCGGCCTTGAGGATGTCATGGCGAAGTGGCTTAGGACACCTGGGGCCGGGGTCCCTGGAGACAGGATCGGTAATGGCAGCTGGCGGGGAGGGGAGGAGGTGGGGTGACTGACACCAAGGAGAAGACCCAGAGGGGGGATAAACAATATTCCGAAAGATGTGAGTATCTCAGTGGTAGCTGGAATGCCTGTGGATAACCCTGAGTTTAGATTCAAGAAAGCAATATTCTGCAGACTAAGTGGTTGTGAAGAAACCGGCTTGGTAGTAGGACGTGGGCACTGTCCCAAAGGGAGAAGTGTTTACTCACATTTCCCTAGAAACAGGGGACCTGGAGTGCCTCGTGGGGCCCAGGGAGAAGCACGCAGGTGGGGCAGGGGCAGAAGGATCGAGCAAAAAGCCAGGGTGAGAGACTCCAGTGTAGTTTTCGAGGGCAGGAAGGGGTGAGCTAGGTCAGCAGGCTGGGCAGAGGGAACAGCGGGAACCCAGATGACAGGCCCCAACCTGGTATGGGGTCGGGAAGACTCCTGGAGCAGAGAGCAGGAGTTCTCCGGCACCGGGCCGTGGGTCGGGGCCCCTCCCACGCTTGGGCTTGGGGGGTGGGTGCTGAGACTGGCCACGCGCCCCTCGGGGCTGCCCTCTCCCCGCTCCCAGGAGGCCACCGGAAGCCGGTATGCTAGCTCAGTGAGGGCCACTGCGGCATCTTCCGCATCTTCCTCAGGGAGGCTGTCCCCGGGATGCCCATTGTGGTGAAGGTAAGGGGGTCCCGTGTGGCTCAGGTACTCCTAGGCTCTGCGGCCACTGCCTACAGCCCCCAGTCCCGAGAGGCGGGGATCGCCGTGGCAGGTGGGGAGGTGAAGGATCTCTGACTGTCGATGGCTTTGAAGATTGCCACACCACATGCGTGTTCAGGGACGCGCACATGGGTGCCTTGTGTACCTGCATGTGCACTTCTGTGTGTGGGGGCCGGCTGATGTACAGGTAGGTGGGTGTGCAGGTACGTGAGTCTGTAGGTGTGCGTGCGCATCTATTCGGCCCTGTGTGTTTCCATGTGCATCTCTGCACACACGCGTTGTGTTTCCAGAATTCTTGAATGCTGGCGGTGCGGGAGACTTAGGAAGGAGAGATTCTCAAACTTGGCTTCACGTTAGATCACCTGGGGAGCATTAAGAGTCCCTAACACCCAGGCGATGCCCCAGACTGCTGAAATCGGAATCCCAAGTGGGTTGAAAGCCTGGCCTCAGGCCTTTGTGAAAACTCCCCAGGTGATCCCGATGGGCCGCCAAGGGTGAGGCCAGTATGTTGAGTGACAGTTGAATAAAATATTCCCATTGTGTAGGGGACACCGAGATCCTATCTGTGTCCACACTTGTGAATGGGCGGGGCGGGGCTATGTCACTAGACTGTCAACCCCATGAGGGCAGGGTTGAGAACAGTGCCTGGCACATACAGACCGCTCGCTCCTTGGTCACCGTGGGTGGCTGATAAGTGTCCGTGTGGGAGCCTTTCCTGCTGGGGCCCTGCGGGTGTGCCCTGCCGGCCCCGGGGAGTGGGCTGGGGGGACCCGCTGGGGCTCTTCCTTCTCTGAGACCCTGCTCTTTGCTCCCTGCAGGAGTTCGGCTCAGAGCCGTCCCTCCTCCCCTGTACCTGCTACGGTCCCACATGTGATGCCTTTGACAAGCTCTTCCTAGGGGAGTTGCAGATGCCCGAGCTGGATGTGGGCGACTGGCTTGTCTTTCCCTCCATGGGCGCTTACACCTCCACCATGAGCTCCACCTTCAGTGGCTTCCTGCCCGCCTCCATCTGCTAGGTCATGGAGCCTGGGCTCAGGTGTCCGCAGGGGGAGACAGGGGGCAGGGCATGGAGGGGATCGCAGCAGGATCTGAGTTTGGCAAGGAGAATGTGGCTAAGCTCTGCAGCCCCAGGCCCAAGAAATACCCTAATCCCCCCACCGGCCCCAGCAAAGCCCGAAGTGTCTGACCGACCTTTGACACAGGCCTCTGCCTTTGGTGCTGACCTTGTCATAGCTGCTCCCCGGGTAAGCCCAAGGTAGTCCCCCTGGGGGGGTCTGCCAGCTCTGAGGTGTGCACACCTTTGAGGGCATAATCAGGCAACCCTGTGGCCCCGGCTGACCCTCAGCCCCTTGGCCAGGCCCCCACTCTGCTGTGTTTGCCACTGCTCCCCAGTTTCCTTCTCAGATGTCCCTTCCCTACCAGCTTCAGGGTCTCTCACAGGCTTGGCCCCAGGGTCCCCTCTCTGCCCAGCCTAGGGCTCTGTCCCCAAGGTGGGGAGGAGGCTCTAGAACTTCCCTTTAGTGGCACATCCTTTCCACAGGAGCCTGCTGGGGACAGCACCTTAGGTTGGGAGGCGACCGTGGAAGTGCTCCAAACACCTTGGTATGCCATGTAGGGAAACGCTGGGTGGGGGTGTGGGGGAGGCAGAGGTTTGAGTGCTTCTGAGTGTGATGAGGCAACTTCCAAGGTTCAAAACGTTTTCTCCCAAAGTGGGCCTGACTGAAGTCTAGGTTAGCTCCTCAGGCAGCTGCCCCCACGTTCCCTGCTCCTTACCCTCCAGACCCTGGTCGGGGAGGGCTGATAGCCTTGTGCCCAGACAGCAAGTGCCCCCTGAAGGCTATGTCCTAGACATGAGGTGGACTGCACAGACCAGTACCTTCCTTTCGTTCAGTTAGTGACCCCTGTGCTGATGTAGGAAGGTCTGCGTGAGCTACAGCGCCCACTCTCGTGGTGAGAATACTGGCTCAGACAGGCCAGGAGTGACTCCAGGCTCCCCCGCACGCCCACAGGGGTGTCCATGCCTCACTTTCCCCTCGGGTATTAGTATCGCCCTCACTGGGTTGTTGAGAGGAGTAAGTCCAATAATGCAAATCCTCAAGCAAGGTCAATTCACGTCCAGGGCCCTGCCTCCGGCTGCCCCTGGTCCCAGGCCTGGCCCACTCAGAGACCCCCCAACACTGCCCCCAAGTTCTGGGGGTCCTCAGGGAGCAGGCGTAGCCTCTGGCCACACAGCTAATGGGCCAGCCCTGGGGGTGCGCCGACCTGGCCTCAGTCCTAGGAGCCTCCAGGCTGGGAGGTTGGAAGGACAAGGTGTGAAAACAGCCAAGTCCAAAATAGGATGGACACTCTTGTGTGTCCTCTGGGCACGCTAAAACTTTAAAAATAGTATTTGGGGAGCTCTGAACTCGAAAAGAAAACAGTCCTACAGGGAAGGAAGTTGGCAGAGGCGAGGGCAGGGACCTGTCAGGATGACCACCCACATTCCTTCGGCTGGTGAGGGTCCAGAGGCCGAAGCCGCCCACCTCCTGTGTCCTTGTTAAGCTTCTCCATTCACTGGCCCCCAGCCTCTGCGATGGTCCTCCCCGTCCGCCAGAGTCAGCCCTACCCATCTTGCTGCTGCCTCCTCAGCTCAGCTAACAGCGGAGGACTCTCCCAGCACCCCAGGACTAAGGAGAATTGTCCCCCAGATACGTGAGAAGGGTTGAGCTCTGGGGGCCACCCCGGAGGTCTCAGACAGCCTGCAGCCTGTTCCCAATTCACCTCTTCCCAGGGCCTGAAAATTGGGGGTGGAAACATCTACCCCAACCGCCCCACACCCCAAAGTATCTGGAAGCACAAACATAAGTGGGCTTTAGGGAAGATATAAAGAGATGCTGGTGTGTTTTGTGTTCTGTGTTTTGCCCTCTGATGCTATAACTGTGGTTGTCCATCCATTCATCTATCCATACCTGCTGATCCATCCCTCCACCCATCCACCTCTCTATCCATTCACTCAGCAGAAATCTGAGGGCCGAGCGTGTGCCTGGCACTGTTCTAGGCCCAGGTAACACACAATGAAAATCCAGGCTTGTGGAGCTTACCTTCCAGGTGCCAAAAGAGACGGCTTAAACAAGCACATACATATATAACAAAGTACACGCTATGAGGAAAAATAAAGCAGAGCCAGAGGATAGTGAATAAAGGAAGATATGCTATTTTAGGCAGAAGGACCAGGGTCAGCTAGTCCGGGGGTGGGGGGAGCATAGGAGCAGAGAGCGAGAGGCCATGTGGCCGCTAGATCAGAGTCCCAGGCATTGCAAACCGCAAGCCCGTTGCCAGGGATGGAGACTGTTAAAAAAAAAAAAAAAAGGCAAGGGGCTGCATGAGGGTGAGCAGAGTGAGTGAGGGGAG